CTACGTCTCTTCCACCTCACAGACCATATGACTGTGCCATTGAATTATTACCAGGAGCTCCCCTGCCCAGCAGTAGACTTTATAACATCTCTAAGCCTGAACGTGAGACCATGGGAAAAATATATTAACGAGTCTCTGGCTGCTGGGATAATCCGTCCATCTTCTTCTCCTCTTGGTGCTGGTTTCTTTTTTGTGGGCAAAAAGGATGGTTCCCTACGACCCTGTATAGATTACAGAGGCCTTAACCAGATAACCGTCAAAAATAAATACCCACTTCCATTACTAGCATCAGCATTTGAACCTGTTCAGGGGGCTACAGTCTTCACCAAGCTCGATTTGAGAAATGCTTATCACCTTCTTAGGATAAGAGAAGGAGACGAATGGAAGACAGCCTTTAAGACCCCCTTAGGCCAATTTGAGTATTTGGTCATGCCTTTTGGTCTCACAAACGCTCCTGCCTGTTTTCAAGCGCTCGTCAATGACATCCTCAGAGACTTTTTGAACATATTCGTGTTTGTGTGCATAGACGACATTTTGATCTACCCCAAGAATCTATCAGAGCATAAGAAACATGTCCACCTGGTCCTTCAAAGACTGTTGGAAAATAAGCTCTTTGTAAAGGCAGAAAAATGTGAATTTCACCAACCATCTGTCACTTTTTTAGGGTTTGTGCTCGAGGGCGGGCAGGTTAAAGGAATAGTACACCCAAAACATGATTAGCCTTCATTTTCTACTCACCCCCATGCTGAACAACACTCTGGAGTACTTTTTTGGTATCTCAAATGCATCTGTAGATCTGGGAGGCTTCTTGCTGTCTGCTGACATTCAAATAATGGAGGTCCATGGTGCCCGAGACAGAAAAGTCCATAAAAGCGTTCACGACGCTACGGAAGCCGGCACACCAAACCAGATGAAAGTGCGCATTCAGCGTCTGCTCTGCCAATAATGCAAGCGTAGAAGAAGGAATGTGCTGTTTACCTGTGCAAAGAAAGAAACAACGAAAGAAAAATGTCTGAGGACTTCAGTGTTGAGGAAGAGCATGAGTTCTTTGCCGAGCTGAATGCGCAGGTTTGGTCTGCCGGCTTCCGTAGCGTCGTGAACGCGCATGAGCGCGCTTTCAGGAAATCCTATACACTACTGTTTATGCTCTAAAAACATTCTAAATGACTTCGTTCCGAGTAAATTCTTGATGCTACCCACTCAGGACACTTGGAATACATTGGACGAGCAATATGGAGGAATATTGACACGTTTTTGTGGACTTTTATGGACCTTTCTGTCTCGGGCACAATAGACCTCCATTATTTGAATGTCAGCAGACAGCAAGAAGCCTCCCAGATCTCCAGATGCATTTGAGATATCAAAAAAGTACTCCAGAGTGTTGTTCAGCATGGGGGTGAGTAGAAAATGAAGGCTAATCATGTTTTGGGTGTACTAATTCTTTAAGCCATCCGAAGACAAGATAAGGGCAGTTCTGGACTGGCCGACACCTGAAAACCACAAACAGCTTCAGAGATTCCTTGGTTTTGCGAACTTTTACAGACGCTTCATAAGGAACTACAGTCAAACAGCTCTACCTCTCACAACCCTGACTTCGGTAAAGAAGACATTTCAATGGACACCTGAAGCTCAAAACGCTTTTGAAAAGTTAAAAACCCTGTTTTCTAGAGCTCCCATTTTGATCCAACCAGATCCTTCTAAGCAGTTTATCCTAGAGGTGGATGCCTCTGACTCCGGCATTGGAGCAGTTTTGTCTCAACAATTCGACTCAGACCAAAGATTCACCCCTGTGCCTTTTTTTTCCCGTAGACTCTCACCAGCAGAGCAAAACTATGATGTTGTGGACCGAGAACTTCTAGCCATCAAACTCGCCTTGGAGGAGTGGAGCCAAACAAGCTAACCCACGTCATTCTAGATAGTCTTTGCTCTTCTCCTGTTTCAATCTCATTATCTCTTACAGACCTGGTTCCAAGAACGTCAAGCCCAATTCTCTCTCTCGTCTTTACTCTGCTGATCAACCTGAGATGCCCGAGCCTGTTCTTCCTGCCTCCTGTACTGTTGGAATGGTTTCCTGGGAGATCACTGATCTCATCAACTCTGCCCTAGCCTCTGAACCTGACCCAGGTAACGGCCCTCCAAATAAAACCTATGTTCCTTCTTCTGTCAGATCCCGTTTGATCCATTGGATGCATACAGCTAAGTTTTCCGGTCACCCGGGAGTGAGCCGAACGATTGCCCTGATTTCAAGAAGTTTCTGGTGGCCATACTTACACAAGGACGTAAAGGAGTACGTGTTGGCATGTTCCATCTGTGCCAGAAACAAAACTTCTCACCAACCACCTTCAGGCCTGCTGCATCCTCTACCTGTTCCTACCCGTCCCTGGTCTCATATTGCTGTTGATTTTGTCACTGGTCTCCCGATTTCCAGAGGTATGTCCACCATTTTAACCATCGTCGACCGTTTCTCCAAGTCTTGCCATTTAATTCCCCTCAGAAAACTTCCCACGGCTTTCCAGACAGCACAGCTTCTGGTGAAGCATGTTTTCCGGCTCCATGGCATCCCACAGGAAATTCTCTCTGACCGCGGTCCACAGTTCATCTCTCAAGTCTGGAAAGCCTTTTGTTCAGCATTGAACTGTAAGTCTTCGCTCACCTCTGGTTATCACCCACAGTCTAACGGGCAGACGGAGAGGATGAATCAACAACTAGAGTCCACTCTCCGCTGCTTGACCTCAAACAACCCCACTGACTGGAGTCAGTACCTGACCTGAAACGAATACGCCCACAACTCGCTCAAGTCAGCTTCTACCGGTTTATCCCCGTTTCAGGTATGTCTCGGTTATCAGCCTCCACTTTTCCCTGCAGACGAGAGAGAGATCTCGGTCCGTTCAGTCCATCAGCACATCAGTAGTTGTCAGAGGGTCTGGAAGGACACCATCGCCACCCTCAACCACTCTTCTGTTTCTACTAAACGCTTCGCTGACTCCAAGAGACGCCCGGACCCTGACTACTCCATAGGCCAAGAGGTATGGCTTTCCACGCGAGACATTCCCCTCAAGGGCATGTCTCGAAAACTGTCCCCCCGATTCATTGGTCCCTACAAGGTAGCACAGATTATCAACCCCTCTGCTGTACATCTACACCTTCCTCCGAGTCTCCGTATCCATCCCACGTTCCATGTCTCCCAGATTAAGACAGTTGTTTCTATGCCCTTGTGCCCTCCATCCGACTCCCCTCCACCCGCCCTGGACATCGATGGACATCCTGCCTTCACCGTCCGCCGGATCGTGGACTCCCGTCGGTGAGGTCGCGGTTGGCAGTACCTCATCGATTGGGAGGGCTACGGTCCGCAGGACCACACATGGGTGCCTGGCTCTTATATCCTCGATCCTTCACTGATCGAGGAGTATGAGAGCTCCCTCCCGTCGACATCTTCTGGACCGCCAAGAGGCGGTCGTTGAGAGGGGGGTACTGTTGGGATCTGGACCTGTACCACCTTCCTCCAGCAGAGTGTGCCGTGGGTCTCCCGGAGCTGGAGTCTTCAAGCACACCTGAGACGCATCTACTCATCAAGAGACCTTCCCTTTATAAACAGCTGCCAGACCTTGCTTCGACACCGCAGTGTTGACCTAGTTTGGTTAGCGACCTGAGCCTTGAACCTGAAGAATCTTAGCGGTCTCTTGAGAGAGATCAGATTCTAATTCTCCTCTGTTTTTGCCTCACAGGAAACCTGTCTCTAGCCTGAAGCTCTGGATGAGCTTAACCTGCCGAGATTGCCCTAGTGAGCCAAACCTGAAGATTCCTATGTGGATTCCCCTGCTGCTCTTAGTAAGAGCTGGAAACTCTGATCAAGGTCTGCCATTTAAGTCAGAAGCTAGACACTGCAGCTGCTCTTGGACTCTGCTGAACAAACAGTCTCTGGACCCAACGGTTCCCCCTCTCTCTCAAAGAGAAGCCCGGACTCAGTCAAGGTATACTCTTGAATTATCAAAGACTCATAACTCATCTGCCTGCCTCCTAATCAAACTATCATCTCTGCAGACTTCAGTGAACCAGCCCGGACCAGTTCCTGATCCAGTTCATGACCTCGTGTTTTTGTGAACCATTCAATAAACTCTGTTAAATTTTTACCCAGCCTCCGTTGTGTTCTGCATGTGGGCTAAGAACCTTAAACCCATCATGACAATCTTGTGTTTCTGAATCCTTCAATAAACTCTATTAAACTTTTACCCAGCCTCCATTGTGTTCTGCATGTGGGCTAAGAACCTTAAACCCATCATGACAGCTTTTTGTTTCTGTGCTGTTATAAAATAACGAGACTGGGAGGATGCTTTAGCTTTAGGTTATTAGACAGATATAGCCTATATACACAATAAAAGACACCTTGCCAGGTCTGTCACAAGAAAGTGTTTCATACGCTTACAGTAATAGAAGGCCCAGTACTGTGCTATCAAAACAACAGCCAATAAGTTATAACAATGCAGCTATAATAAAATGCTGTGTTCATCCTTTCTATAGACAGAAGGAACTGGCCTATAAGAGAGATAGGGGATTTCAGTGAATCCTTCTTCATATCGACCAAAATAGCAGAGGCTTGGCCCATGAAGTGCTTCACATAATCAAAGAGAACTTTACCTGCTGATGTATGTTTCCCTGAGAAACCAGGTCCTTAAAAAAGGTTCTGATCTTGCAGGGAAGCCAAATAACACCTAATAACAGTGAAATATGTTGAAAATGTGGATTACAGAAAAGATGATTTCATATCTCCTATGATTCAGATTTGAGATTAAAGATCCATCTCAGGGGTTGATATTAAGGATTTGTACCCGAAGGTTCCCTGAAGTCAAAAGGGAACAATATAAGGTGCAGATAAGGTTTCAAGGCCTTATCTGCACGTGTTTCTCAAAAAAACCCTATTAAAACAGGTTAATGATTAGTCCTTTGTGTTTCATGCTATATTTAAGGCCTGGGTTCCACACAGCCCACAAAGCAGACCTGCAGAGACTTAACCTTAGAATGGAGATGACAATGTTTTTCCGAGCACTGCTGCTAATCAGCTCTCTATCTATATCTCAGCTCCAGGCTTTGATGGACAATGAAATTATTTCCCATTCTAGGAAAAATGGATCACAGGTCGAAGACACAGAAAATCTTCCTGACCCCCAACAAACAATTCCACAGGACATCAATGCTGTGCTAAGAGAGGTGATCGCCTCGGTGGCTGGACTGAAGGTGGAGACAAAGTACCTACAGAGGGATCATGAAGGTATATTTAATTACAAATGTTTAGCATTCACAATGGTTTCTTTGAATGCTTGTCTCAAGAAGTAACAGTATAATTTACTGTTTTTTTTTATTTCTACAATAGCTAACACGAAAGAGCTGGAGCTGCAGAAAGATGAGTTGGACAAGCTAAAACAGCTGTACCAAGGTTTTTATCAAACTACATTATTGCTGCTTTCATTGTGAAGAAAATGTAATCATTTGCTCATTTTACAAAGAGCTAATTTTGAATATACAGAGTGCAGTACAAATATATCCCTTACAATCTGCAAGGAACTGCAGATGGATGATTCTTTTTAAAATAGATTCTGCTGATCTCAAATCTTGTTTACATGATGATATACATTAGCATGTTAGCAAAATAATCCCAAAATGTATTTTTTTTAAATGTCTTTTTCACTTCCTGCAGGAGAACTGCTGTCATAACGCCCACATTTGGGAATTGTTACAATAACAAAAACGAGTAGAAAGAGGAGATAAAAATGTACATAATCTAAACTATATACAAATAAGAATTCTGAATTAAAAGAGACTTTTGTATACTATATTATTTTATAGCACTGCTACACAACACATCATGTTATGACATTTTACAAAGATAATTCAATCACAAAATGGTCAGATTTGTAAACTTTTTTCTATCTAAGGAAAACCAGCTATTATTATTATTTGCACTGTCCCATTGACTCTACAATGATCCCTCAAAACAGTAACTTTGTTTTTCTTTTCTTTTTACACACAGCTAAGACACAGGAGTTGGACAAGCTGAAACAACAGCACCAAGGTATTGAAAAAGTGCAAAAATGTATAGAGAAAGGAACACCAGCTTAGAGTAAAACATAAACAAAAAAATTTGAAAATCTTGTGCTATTACAAATTTGTTTGTATCAGAGATACATAATTAAAAATTGTTTTACACAGAAATAAATAAATAAATATGACTTCTTAGAAACATGTGGGCTGTTCATATTGTCTGCTTTATGAGTTTTGGCAATTTTTTATAAGAATTCTTAAAAAAAACATATGTATTGTTAATATTTTATTGTGTTTTAATAATTAATATTTTGCTTTGTATGGTTTCAGCTCAGGTAAAAGAATTGATCAATGTTAAAACCAGGGCAAACATCGCTAAAAACCAGTGGGAGGCTCTGAAGAAAAAATGCCTCAAAGCAATAACTTAACGAAATCCTTTTTTTTCTATTCTTTTCACACACAGTTCAAACACAAGAGATGGACAAGGTGAAACAACTGCACCAAGGTATTTAAAAAAAGTGAAAATACTATTAGAAAGGAACACTAAGTTCAAAGTATAAACAGTACTTTTGTATTAAACAGGCCCGGCCCTAACCAATTTTGCAGCCTAGGCAACCATTTAGTTGGTGTCCCCCTGCATCACAGTCAGTTCCACTGCCAGTTTAGATGCTCACAAAAAAAAATTTAATAGGCTTGTCTTTTACTTTTTTCTTTTACTGAGGATTAATGAAAACAGATTTAAATAACTCTGAAACTGAGTAAATAAGACAAAGTCAAAATTAGAAACAAATAATACAAAATATTTCTCTTAATAGCATTTGCAGAGTAATATTGCATTAAACACGCTAAACAAGCGACATAACATATAAATAAAGCACAGCAGAAATTGGTATGGCCCAAAAGGTACTAGAGGAACCAGCATTGGCACAACAAATAAAAAAATTAAGTTTGCATCGAGTAGGAAGTGCACGTATCATAATGTTACAAAAAAAAAAAAAGATTTTACTACTGTAGGGGTGTCTTTTTAATACTGCACTAACTAGTCAACCTCATCTGCTACTGTACTATTTTACTCTCCCAGTCTTTCTGGGAAAAGTTATCTATAACATTACCAAAGGCTTTGGTATACAGTACCATTAATGCTGGCTTATTATTTTCATACTAAGAAGTAATAGTATTGATATGAAAATAACTATAAAGATATAAGTTCCACTTTTATTTTCTTTAATTCCCACCATCACAGCGCACCCTGGATGAATGGCGCCCTTAGCATTTGCCTATACAGCCTAGACCATGGGCCGGCCCTGGTATTAACTTCATTTTTTTAAATATCACCATATGTAAACTCAAGCAAAATCTTACATGATAACCAATACTTTTGCATCAGACATATCTAAATGTAAAGAAAGAAATTTTCTAACTATTGTTGTGCTGATGCCATTTTTTGGCCCCGATACCAGATACCTGGCTGTGCAGTATTGGCCTATCACGATACCATCTGTTAGAAACTGATGTGTGTGTTTTATATGAAGAACTGCAAACTACTTGGATGTAAAATAATTGCCATCATGGCTTTGTCAAGCTGCTGCCTACCTTTGTGAAGCAGGAGAAGGACTAATACAAAGTGAATCTAGTGGAACTTTTTATTGCCTTCCTGGAATGGGTGACAATAGTTGAAAAAACTTTTGGCTCTCAAAATGGTATCAGTGCCTTATTTGTTGGTACTCGCCGATACTGATACCATTTTAGTGCTGGATCGGGGCCCCACCCGATACTGGTATCAGTGCAACACTAGTTACCACAGAAATACAGAATCAATTAATTAATTATTTTTTGGAAAACCTAAGCCTAGTCCTATCGTCTGCTGTATGGGTTTTAGCAAAAGGTTATAAAACTTAAAATATATGATTATTATTATTTACATTATTGATGTATTTCATAACGAATGTTTTGCTTTGTATTATTTCAGCTCAGATAGAAGATCTTATCAATATTAAAAGCAGGGCAAACATCACTGAAAATCAGGTGGAGGCTCTGAAGAAAGAAGGAGAAGGTTTGTGAATCCAGAAATAAACTTTGTCAATAATCACAACCAATAAGAAGAATTCACTCTGAACACGGTTTCCACTGCAAGAGTCTCTAGGCAAACCGTGTTGGAACGTTTGTCACCGTTCCGCACTCTCAATGTGCTACTAGTTTTAAGTAGCCTGACGTCGTCCTACTCAATTCTAGTCAGAATATGAGTCTGATACTGCTCCATAGAGCTGTAATTATGGGGCGTGTTTCGAATGAACCAGGAAAAAAAATGCCTCTGCACTCAATTGGATAGACCTACAACCAATAAGAGCAACGGAGTGCGTGACGTATGTTAAGCGATGCATAGTTGTTGTCAACAAAAATCAAAGCATGCAGTTGCACGCCTAGAATAAGAAGATGAGCCTTGATCGCGTTTCTCTGTTCCTCTTTTAAAATTAATTTGCTGTCGATATCTTCTAGAACAGACCTAATAGCAGAATCTACTCACCTAAACTCTCCGGTACCAGCCATTGTTGTTGTCACCCAAGCGCGCTTTGGTCACGTGGTTGATTACGTTACTGTTGATCATCTGTCCATCATTGTATAAAGCCCGCCCTGACAATTTGATTGGATCGCCAGAGGGTGGGCGATCATACTCGAGCTACTATGGAGCAATGCCAGACCGAACTTCCCAACCTCAAACCTTGTGGGCGGGACTAAGTTCGGAATGGCACCCAGGCTAAGTTTTAAGTACATTATTTAAAGAATTACAGCACTGCTCTCATGAAAAAGTTAGCACTTTTTAAATTGTAGATGTTGTGAAAAATTCTTCACCTAATGTGAATATTACTTCTTAATTAACACCAAACCAAACACAATACTTTCTTCCTTCTAGTGAAACGAGTGGCTTTCTCAGCTTCCTTGTTGGCCTCAGGCTCAGCAACTCTTGGTCCATTTAACACGCGGGTCCCTCTGGTCTTCAGGCATGTTACTACAAATATTGCAAATGCCTACAACCCTAACACAGGTAACTAGGTTTAATAATCATTTCATATACTGTAAATTTATATAATTCAGAACAAATGCCAAACTTTGGTCAGAATGTGCTGGAAGGATGATGTAACATTAGGAAAAAATACCATTTATATCATGTTTGGTGATTCTAGATTTCATGGTTTTAAGTGACATCTGGGATTTTTTGTCAAAAGTTTTCAAACTTATTGTTATTATTATTTATGTTATTACTTTTCATCAGGGTTTTTCACAGCCCCACTAAGAGGAGTCTACCACTTTGAGTTCTATATCGGTGCACATGGACATCCTTCACAGGCTTCAGGTGCTGGGCTGGTCAAGAATGGAGAACATGTTTTGATTGCATATGAGAGTCAAGTTAATGGTTTTGGTTCTTCAGGCAAAGGAGTCACCTTGTTGTTAGAGCCTGGAGATGTTGTGTTTTTGCGTCAGTGGTCCAACACAAGGATATTTGATGATTCAAATCGTCATACAACCTTTAGTGGCCATCTAATTTTTACAATGTGAGAAGATCTGATTTCTCCATTGTTTTATAATTATTCTCTTATATTTAAAGAGAACACTAAGTAAAAGTAAATAAATTAATATATATTAAGCTATTAAAAATAGCGTCTCTTAGTGATATCAGTGTTTTTTGTTGTTTTATACATTGCTTTATGAGTGTTCTAAAATTTGGTTTTAATGTTATGTGTTTGTTTGTTTTGTTTGTTTGCCATAATATGTACATTACTTTCGAAAACATCTTAAGTTTGAAATTGTACTTCATAATAACAATTGTAATAACACAGTGACAACATTATTAATACAATAAAGTTTATTTTATTATTCCATTAATCAATAGATCACACCATATATGTATTTTATTTGGTAGTTATGTTGACGTTAATTGGAAGAAAAACTCAGAGGTCTTAGAATCATTGATATTTTAAAGTGTATCTGTATCATGATCTTGGTGCTGATGACTGGCTTAATTACTCATTTCATTCACTTGTCTATGTAAACCCAGTTTCTCGTTACCCTTGTTGTGCCACATGCCACGATCATGGTTTTTGGACATTGGACACCAGTGTCCATATTTAATCTTGAAATGATGACCAGAGAAGAGAGTACAAGTTTAGTAAATAAACAGCTGTAAAGCTACGTTCACACCAAAAGCAGCAGAGGCAGCAGGAGCAGCTAGTTTACATGCAAAGTCAATGGTTGACGCGCATCAAGGTGTAGCAAAACATGCCACAGCTTGTTTTGAGCAGCAGGTGCAGCTTGTCGTGAGTGTTTGAGCATCTGACACACACGGAGTGCCGCAAATGCAGCTGCTGCTCCAGTTGGAAAAATTTTACTTTTGCTGCTCGACGCACTAAATCAACCAATCAGAGAGAAGCTCTGCCAAATAACGTTGCTGTGTTTTCAGACTGGAGGGAAAGACAGGAAAAAACCCAGGATTTATTCAACAATGGAAGATAAATTGATAATCGCTGTTTGCTCTCATCCAGCTATTTATGACCAATCATGTTATCAGTAGAGAGATGGAAGCAGAAAGGACCTTGCCTGGAGGAGGATTAGCAAAAAAATCGGAACTCTCTGGTAAGTTATCCAGGCTTTTACAATGGCAAACATACACTTTCACTCTACTGCTAATTTCACACTGCTTAATAAATGTTTATTTAGAGGATGTATGCAGGAAAAGTTTTATTTGAACTTTCCCATAGTCCCACCACTGTCTCAGAGCGGTGAAATCTGAATTTCTCTATCTGAAATCAGTCCAAAAACAACTTTAGGTTTCTTTAAAACCATGATAGTCAGAACGGTCTCTATGGTGCTTCTGTGGTGAGGATGGGTGGGGGCAGGTGGGCTCTCCTCATCCTCCACAAGAAGTACATGCGCTTCTGTGCCCTTTTGACCAGTGAGGTGGTGTTTACATTCCAGGTGAGGGTGTCTGTGATGTGCACCTCCAGGAATTTGGTGCTTTTGACCACCTCTACAGCTGAGCTGTTGATGAGCAGTGGAGCATGGTTAGGCTGGTTCTTCCTGAAGTCAACAATGATCTCTTCCGTCTTCTCCACGTTCTGGATCAGGCTGTTATCTCTGCACCAGTCCACCAGCTGCTCCACCTCCTCTCTGTAGTCCAGGTCGTTGTCGTCTCTGATGAGGCCCACCACTGTGGTGTGGCCTGCAAACTTCACAATGTGATTGGTGGTGAACCTGGGGACACAGTCATGTGTCATCAGGGTGAACAGCAGGGGGCTCAGGACGCAGCCCTGAGGGAAACCTGTGCTTAAGATGATGACATCAGAGGTGTTCTGTCCAACCTGGACTGACTGAGATCTGTTCGTGAGGAAGTCTAGCAGCCAATTGCGGAGGGGTGTTAGCCCCCCTCTGCATCCTCGCTTTCTCCGTCTCGCACATCTCTTCCTTCGGCAGTTATGTTCCGCTGTTGTATTGTTGACATCCGTCCGTAGCACTCCGAAACTTTTTTAGACGGTCAAAAATATCTGGATTTAAAACATTTTGTGACCGTAGCTCTAGTAGGCATTGGTGATCATAGATGCGGGGTCGATGTCTAGTCTGTATCGTATTAAACTGTATATTATGTGAACTTATCGAAATTGTCCGTTCTTGGCCGCTGCTTTGGAGCACCGCCATGGCAACCAAAAATATCAATATAAAAATATATAATATATAGAATATTGACCTTTATTTGGCATATTGTCAGTTGATGTGTGCGCTGGTTGGAAATGGACACTTCACTCACGCTCCCCGTGTTTCACGAATTGCGTGAAAAACATGTGACTACTATAGCCACTAGGCGGCAGTCTGAGTCCATTTCGGCGTCCCATGAGTCAGGATTAGATAGCTCAATTAGCAAACTGGGATGGGCGTTACGTGTTGCAAGCAGTTAGTGTAGAGGGTAGAGTGAGTGGTCTGCTGTTCTGAAAGTTGAGGGTTCGGTCCCAGCTGTGGCAGAATATTTTTCTATTTTTTTTTAAATCACTTTTTTTATTACATTAGACCATAGGGATTATCATTCTACATTTTTATATTACTGTATATATAGGTCTATTATATTGCATGCCTTATAGCCACAGTGTTTAGATATTTTTATAATTCTATTTACCCTATTCCATATTATATGCGTCATGGTCTGACGGTGTTTGTGAATGAGAGATGGTGCGGCTCGGCTCATATTCACGGAAAGCAGCAGATATGCAGCCCAGATGTGGAATTACTCGCAGTGAGTTTAAGACTTTATTATCTGCCGCGGGAGTTTGGTCACGTGATCGTGCTGTGCGTTTCCAAAGCGTGGTAAACAAGTTTCAGACTAGAGTCTGAGACGGGAGTGGATTTTCACTCCTGTCCCGTCCCACTCCCACAGAAAAAAATTGTGTCCCGTCCAGATCCAGGGCCAGAGTAGAAATCTAAATCCTGTCCCGTCCCACTCCTGGTGAAATTACTCCCATCCCGCTCCTATTCAGAATGACTCCCGCTGCTCCACCACTCCCATTCTTGTTTTTTTTTTTTTTTGAGCTTGGGAGAAAAACTCAGAGCGGAAGCAGTGATGGTTTTTGGGTCGTGTAGTTTTTTTGACTCGCATTATAGTGTAGGCTTCAAGGAAAAAAACTACAAAATGGCGGCGCCGCGCCAGTACTGGATTTTTTTTCTTTCTATTTTATTTTATTTTATTTTTTGGCATCGATCCTATTTTTTTTGTTATTATTGGTTTGCTCCCAGTCCCGTCTGCTCCCGTTAGTGTTTAATCCTGTACCGTCCCAATCACGTCATCGTTACTAATACTGACTCCCATCCCACAATACTTCAATGTATTTTTTAAATTTTTTGACAATATGATTATTAGGCGGGTAAAACTTATGAATTATTTTAAATGATATTGCTTTAGGGATCTCAAGCAATAGGGATCTAATCATTTTATTGTTCTTACCATTATTACAAGAAAAACAAATCTTACCAACTGGAGTGTCAGTCAGTACTGATAAGGTTTGTTGTTGTGTG